GAGAATGCCGTTCAACTGATATGTGCATTCCAGTTTCTGACCTACTGTGTACATATTTAAAAACCTCCTTTTGAATAACTTGAGCACACACTTTTCTCACATTTCCCCATATGTCAGGTTCTCATATTTTCTCCCAAAAGAAATCTGTGAAATCCTATACATCCCTATCCTGACATGTGAGATACATGTAGCTGCTTCTGCACAGGCTGAAATGCGTAGTGGTTGTGGTAATTTACTCCTCACGTGGTCCTGCTTGCTGCCATACTTCTGACATACAGCGCACTGTCTGAAAGAAATTAATGATTATGGGAAATTAATGCCATTTGGATATTTTCTTAAGGGACTGCCCATTTGAATTTAATCCCATTTATTTTTCTTTTTTACTTGCACAAAGAATGTAGGCAATCATTGCCATCCTATCAGTGAGATGGTCTTGATAAACTTGAGAGACAAATCTAAAGATTGATTTATAGCACTAGACATGATTACAAATTCTCAAAGTATCAGAATATATGAAAACTAGACAGGTATAATCTCTAGAAAGATTGATAACAACAATAAAGATGCTTCCTTTCAGAGGATTTTTACAGCAAGATTATGGCCTTCATTCAAATACCAGTTATGTATGCAAAGAACACTTGTAAATCTCCTTCCCCAGCGGCACCTCTGTTTCAAATAGGTGTAACTGCAGCAAAGTTGTGCCCAAATTCTTGCCTTCATGTTCTTGGGAGTGATGACAGTGCTCATTACTGTCCTGATAGTTGGCACAAATTTGTGTCAGTGGAACTGAGCATAGAATTTGACTCACACTATCTCCTCCATTGCAAGAAAGTATTTGAAATAATTTATGATCATTAAAATAAATTCTGAACCTTTTAAAAACCTGTGTTTCATACTTGCAGGCATTTGCTGAGCACCCCTGGGAGGTGCAATACCTCTTTAAATATTATTAAAACTTTCTGGACCTGCTTACTTTGAAAACAGAAAGGGATGGGTTTGTAAACTGTAAATAGCAGAAATCTCTCATGTTATTTATTTTTTCAATGACTGTGACCTTATGCACTGTGAATGCTCTGTGATATGGGGTCCATTGTACAGATAAATATGTCATGGAATCCAAATGGATTTAATGTGATAATTTGTTACAAAATGTTGGCATGATATTTGATTATTTTTGTTGTGAGAATTATAAAAAATAGTTAACTCAGCATTTATAAAGATTATAGCAGTCAGTATTATAATGCACTATATAAAAATATGTACACTGTCAATAAATTATATAAACAACTAGAGTGTGTTTCTTTCTCAGATGATAAAATGTGAAACATTCTCATGTTTATTATTGAAAATCTAAAATTTAAGGACCCAAATAGGTTATATGCCTTTACTTTTTTGGTGAAATCTGGACCCTGCTGAACTGAATTAACGAAGGCCCACATTTTCGTCTATTCCAGGGAGTATTGCCTGGATCAAGCCATTATTGGAGTGAGTTAAGTGTATTGCTTTGATTTGCAGCAATTCTGAAACACACAGTTTGCTCTTTTGAGACTAGAAGTGTGTGAATTGCTGAGAACACAGTTTGCTGTACTGAGGCACTGATTCAGAAGCAATTATGACAGCTCAGAAACACCCTGATGGGGAGCATTTTGGCTGCTTTGTCTCATGGTATAGTGGTGTCCAGCAGGTTCACACTGAGTACTGGGTGCTGACAAAGGGGTGGAAGTAAGATCTGAAGGCTGAGCAGTACTACTTTCTTTTCCCAGCAACCTATCCTCTGGAAATACTCCTTCTTACCCTTGATTGCCCATTTTCAACATCCTTGTAGTCCACCTCAGGGTCTGGTGACTTCTGGTATATATGTATACAGGCTCTAGTGCAGTCTGTTCTGGACTCACAAAAAGCTTTTAAATGAAAAAAAAAAAAGGAGAAAAAGAGAAGCTAAGAGTTAACTTCATCTCGTGGCCTGTTGTATTAACAGTTTGATTAAACAAGTTTTCTCATGAATACTCCTAGCCAGTTTACAGCCAGGAGATGCAAGTTAAAACAAATCTTGATCTTATTTTTCTTAAGCACTGTGCATGAGACTGGAATCCCTGTTGCTGTATAAACCTGCCATTAGCCACTCTTGGCTTTTGTGCATCTACAGAAAAGTCTCATGGAAGCGGAGAAAAGGGATATCCTACATTCTTTGATTTTTACATAAGGGTTCGTTCATTAGTGTATGCTAAGCTAAACTTTTCTAAGCTGGGGAAAGAAAAGGATTCCTTCTTATACACAGAATTAACTTCTAGGAATCAGAATCTGAATGTGAAAAATACCTCTTCTTTTAATCCTTCCATTCTTGACATGATGACCCATCATGATCTGTTATGTAATAGGTTCTATAAAAGGCACACAATCTATGGATTAGTGACACAATAGGCATGATAATTCCTATGGGCTGTTATCACATGCCGTATTATTGATGCAGCCACTTCCTACTATATGGAAAGCAGAACTGTCATGTAATCTGTGCATATGCTGAAAGCACTTTTTTATAGCCAAAGTGCTCATTGTACTTAATGGCTTCCCCCATAAGCCATTTTTAAACCTTTCCAATTCAGCTGCATAAAATTACAAAAATGGGCTGCAGCATGCTGTGGCTTAAGATGGAAAGGGTGAATCAGTTCTAGAAAAGAAATGAATTTCCCCATTCAGCTTGGATTTATCATAGAGGAACCTCAGTTTAAAGTAACTGGGTGTTATTTTGTCATTTAGCTTTTGTGTAATTGTTTACTTCCAAAGCTTGATACTAGAACACAGTGTCACATTCCAAACCTGTCAAATCTCTGGCTTAAAAAAATACCTAGTAAAGACTGGACAAAATTTCTTATGTTAAAATTTGTCTTCATTTTCATATTTTAAATATTTTACAGAGATACTGAGTACTTTGCAGAAAATTACAAGATCTTTTAAAATTAAATTTGGTCAACATCTTTAGCAAAACAAATTTTGAAACTTCACATTTCTGAAACTACATTCTTTACATTGAAAATAGTGTGAAAGATTTCACTCAAATCACATGAAACTGAGATAGCACCAAAATACTGGATTTTTTTATTCTGTATTGTTGCCATTTTTTCCCCCCAAATCTTGTGAATAATTCTAGTAATTTTGTTTCTGCTTCCCTAAAAGTGTCATTGGAATTGTCTAACACTCTGTGATGTTCTACATTTGCAAAATCGTAGGTCTTCGCACAGGACAGCTGCCTATTTGTGTGAACAGTTTTTCCCATCTGAGGAGGTCCATGCAAGCAGCCCAACTTGCCAGTTTTTGTCTCAGCAAACTTTTTTTCCAGCAAAGCAAGGGTAAATGCTGAGTGAGCCTGGTCCCTGCCGAATTGCAGGGGAGGGAAAGGAAAATGTGGGGTAGAGCTGAATCCATGTGAGGCATGTAGGAGATTGTTCTTTGAAATACCCGAGGTGCATTTCAAAGGTGCCCAACTGGTGAGCAAATCTAGAACACATTTTTTTCTTGGACCTCTGTGCTCAGAACCCACAGAAGGATTCAGAGCTGAGATCTGACAAGCCTGCAGTAAGGAATGAGTGAATCTCAGCCAACCTGCCTGCTAAGAGGACTAAATTCTTCATTGAATGAGTTTGCCATTGCCTTAAAATTACTCCAGGAGATGGAGCAACTAGCTCCTTAATGTAGTAGAAAAGAGCATTATGAAATACCGTAGCTGAAAATTTAAAACTAAATGAGGAAAAAAATCAGGTGCGAATTTAAATAATACCAGCAATTAAGCCCTAAGACACCTTATGTAGAAGGGTGGTGAATTTTCCATCATGCAGTCTTTCAGTCAGGCTCTTTGACTTTCTAAGATGAATCCTTCTAAAAGTCAAAACATAAATTTTCTTATGTGAACAGAAGTCACAGTCTTTATTAAAAAAAAAAACCTGGAAAAATTTGGTCTATTGTTAACCCAGAAGTTGTGACTTGGTGACAGTAAAGGACCCCCTGACTCTCCTTAGCTCAGTGCCGGCAGAATTGGCTCTGTGTTCTATACTGAGGTCTAGTTTCCCTCTTGTCAATGCACTGGCCGTTCCCTGACATTTGCATTCAGCTATGGGCTGTATGGCACTGTCTATTTTTAAAAAGCTGAGAAATTACTTCTAAAGATAAAAGGGGCAAAAAGTTACCTGTGTCTCCCTGTCCATTCCATGCAATTGCTTTTCTCCGCCTCTGCTTCCTACTTCTGCCTTATTTTTTCCATTATGCATTCTCCTAGTGTCAGATATTTCTGGAACAATGGGGTTGCCAAATAGGAGTGCCACCAGCCCTGTCTGACAGCACATCTGTCAGTCCCCAGCTTCCACAGCTGGTCTGTATTCAGTCAGGTTTCCCATACAGCAAACGTTACTTGATCACTTAAATAACTCCAGGTCAAATGTACTCTGAGACTGACTGCAGCTTCACAGCACAGATAGCTGTTCATTTGCTAGCAGTTGTACAACCTTATCATTAGCTTTTGCTTTAACTGGGAATGTTTTTGTGAAGCTGTCCTCTGCCAGTGTTAGACATTTCATTTTCTCAGGTCCTGTGTAAATATAAAGGTTTCCAAGCTCCATCTGGTTCCAGTTACTCAAGCAGTAGAAATACACATGCTTCAGGAATTTGCAGACGGAGACTTACTGCTTTGCTGCCTTACAAAATCCTTTACAAAGTTCACTATGCTCTGTTGCCTCCTGATATACCTGTAGCCTGTAAAACAATTTCCCTTGAAACTTATTTAAGTTAGAGAAACAAATAAGTTGATGGTCTCATGCCCTTCTTTCTAATGAGGTTAACCTGCCTGCACTACTAAATATGGGTTTCTAACACACACACACACACACACGCACACACCCTTGACCACCAAAGACTGCCTCTTCCTGAAATCCCCCGTTCATATAAATACAGGAAGTAGAAATAAGAGAGGCTAAAATCGGATCTTCTTGGTAGTTTGCTTTCATTTCAGTGCTTGTTTAGTCCTCTGCCCTCCGACACTACTGAGCCTGAAGCTGGTTTTAAACATCCTCCCCCTGACGCCCCTTGAAATACCATCTTCAGTGCAAAACCTGAGGATGTGGAGGTTCTGCTCAGCAATGGAAAGGAATTGCTTTTCTTACCGAGGAACTCTCAAGCCACTGTGAAACAGAAAGTGTCTTAAAGTTTGCTGTAAGGATGAAAACATCAGCAGGAGAGAAGGGAGCCAGGGATGACTCAGGGTAAGTCCTGAATCTTTAGTGACTGCTCATTTTTAATAACTGTTGCTTTACTTTTCCTACTTAACAAAGAGTTCTCAGCTGCATTTGTAAGCCAGCTGCTGAGTTATCAGCTACATAGTCACAATAGTGTGGCAAGATTGTGCTGTAATTTACAGTATTTCCTTTAGCTAACATGTTCCAGCTAAAACCAAACTGCAATACCTTTATTTAGCTTGAATCTTAGCTATTTAGGGAAGAAGAAGGATGAATCCCAAGCTGCAGTTTAGGGCAAAGGACAGAAAAAGGGAGTTTTCTGGTTTTGGAAATGTGACAAAGCTTTTCTGGGAGGCTTGCTTTGTTTCTGCTGAAATGCAGAAGTGGATAAGGGCTCGTCCCTATCAGCTGATGGTCACTCCAGCTCCTACATGCTAAGGTATACACAGACCCTGTCCACAGACTCCCAAGAGACTTCAAATGTACTTTCTGTCAGGAAAAGACTACGGGCTTTCCTTGCTCCTGGCCAACAAACACTGCACCTTGCAGGACTGAGCCCCAAGAAAACATAGTCGGACAGAAAATGGGTTTTGACTGGGACAACAGTCAGCTAGCTCCTGGGATTCCAGGATAAGGCTGGAATCCTCCTGAGGCTTGGTTGTGTCATAAAACCCATGCTGAAGCTGAGAATTTCTGTTTCCTGTTGTAAACAATCAAGGGAAAATTACATAGCTGCTGAAACCTTCAGTCACCCCCCCTTGGAAAAACATAGTAATACCAGTTATTAAGACTTTTTCTTACCTGTTTGACACACTTAGACAGCCTATTTCCTGTGAATAAAAGCTCCCAGATATGTCTGTGATGGGTCCGGTAGAAGAGGCTGTATGGGTGGATAGATATGTGATACTTGCATTTTCAGTCACTAAGTGTGCTGCCAGACTTGGAGCACACTCAGACAAAAAGGAGGTGAAATTGCTGCTGACAGGCTACTGTGCAATGGTTTCACCATAGCACTGTTCCCAAATACCCACATGGAGTGCGGGGGATGGAGGGAGAACCCTGCATTACAATTGTCACTGCTTTTGCCTTGTTCAGTTGTTTGCATTAAGTGGAACAATGACACTCCTGTTTCAAGGTGTAATTCCTCAGTTCCATGTGATGTTAAACACTGAGGGACAAAGATCACATACCCATAAGGAAAAAATGTAAGTATCCAATCCCTGTAGACTGGCAAGAGGAACTTAGTCGATGATAAACCAGAGAATTTCCACTTGCAGATATTCTCTGCATTTGTGATAGTTAAGTTGTTAAGTATTATAAACTGAAAGATATGTTCTCTTTATCTCTTTCTCAACTTGTCTGAAATGAACCACATGCTTGCAAAGGTTTGTTTTCAGTCTAAAGTTACAGGAGAAAGTAAACAAGCAAACAAGTAAACAAGGACTGTAAATCAAGTGGTTGGAGGAATCATAAAGCATCAGTGGGCATGCCACATGCATTCTTCATAGAGTTTTGAGCATCTGAACAATTTAACAGAATGACCTTTTTTTTCATTAACTGATTGTCTTTATTTTCAATCTATCTCCCACTCATAAAAAAACTTGGGTATTTTAAAATCTGTTTTAACTCTCTCTGTTTACATTCTATAATATTGGTGAAGATTCTCAAAATTACACTTCAGCATGCGTACCTTGTGGCCTCCAACACATTACAGAATTAGAAACATTTCTAAATGGTGTTTAGGTAATTTCCTATTATGGTCACACTGAATTAGGTGCCAATTTCACAAAATATATGTAGATAAAGTTGGTAGCTTTCAAAAGATATGGTAATATAGGGCAAGCTGCTGATGGAGAATCTGTACCTGATTTTAAAATTCTGTGCACAAAAATTGCATGAGCAATTGCTGAGATTGCACCTCGGTTTACGATAGTCTTTGGGCTATTAATTAAAAGGGAAGGTTTATTCACATGCACAGAAACTATGCCAATGCAAATTATCTTAGAAGTACCCTAGCAACTTGAAAAGTATCCATGTATCCATTCCTAGTAATGACTGAAGGGTCTATTCTGCATGTAGCAAATCCATACGGAGGTTTTGCTGATTTATACCTGTGAAGTGGCAGAAAGACACTGGGGAGAAACCTGCCTCCAGAATTAGCAGCTACTCAGAGAGGAATGAGGGAGAAGTGTAGCCAGGGGCTGAATAGAAATCAGTCTAATCCGATTGCTCCAAAATGGGTTGGGAGAAATTTAAGCAGTAATTCTGACCTAGAGTCAGGCTAACTCCTAGGAACATTAGTAAGTGGTGAGATCACAAAACACCTGGAGAAATGGGAGCTGCTTGAGCATGATGACCATGGTTTCATGAAAAGATATATGCCTTCACTCCAGCATCTGGCAAATGTACAGGAGATGATTAGAGCAGATAGGAGCTGAGACAGATATTGTATGCAAATATTTAATAGTCCTTTGAGATAGTGGCTGTTTTAGGTTGGGATGGGTTTCAGTGGTTCTCATTTCTGGGACACCAGGTTACCTGATAAAGTAATGATTGTGCATCTTTCTGGTGGCATGTTTCTTGGCACAAAACCCACCATCACAGTTGACAGATTTCATGTGATGAATTTAGAAATAAAGAGGTCAAGCATTGGAGGAATCTGTAAACTGAAAAACTTTGACAGGTTCACAGATTTTAGTTTTGAAAGGGACTGTTTTGACTATCTTGTCTGATCTCCTGTGTAGGGCAGACCAGAGATCCTATCAAGTACACTATCAAACCCGTGACTTCTGCTGGAATGGGAGCTTTTAGATACTTGTTGACCACAAAAGCTGTTATCTTCTACCCAGGCTACATATATGTCTCTTCAGTGCAGTAAATAAATCTAATGCCAACATTTACAGGGTTGAACTGAGAAAACAATTTTTAAAGACTCCTTAAAAGCCATACTTTTTAAAGGGCTTAATCTAAGCTCATTTGAATCAGGAGAACAAGTCCTGTTGGCTTCAGGAGGTCTTGAACCCAGTGCAAAGTACTGCTAAAAAAAAATCCAGACCTAGAACATATGAGATGTGATGTTTAAATGGGCCAGGGACAGTTCAGGCAACTGGAAACAAGTCTGTTATCAAATACCTGCTGTCTGTCAAGCAATGATACACTTTCCAGTCAAGAGGGATAGTGCTTCTCAAGAAGGAAATGTTTGTGCTCAAGATGCATTGCACCAAGATCAGCATATTACTGTAAAGATACAAAGAAGGTGGTGCTCTCCAAAGCTACCTGATTTTGGTATGTCCAGGGAGGAGACAAAAATCTCCTGAAATTCATTTAACAGAAGAGCATGTTTACAACCACACTGACTTGTTATATGATCTTTCCAGTGCTTCCATTAAGTGAGTACTTGCCAAGCTTGGCAGATGCTTGGAGCACATTGTGCAGTGGTACTGGTAGTAGCACGGAAGGCAACTGTCCCATTGTTTGCTGGCAGACAGACCACGCTGGGAATATTGCCCCCAAGTAGGAACTTCTCATCATTGCAGACTGCCTTATATCAGTGTTCACAGGAATGGGGCCACAAATGTAAGCAGTATTCTGACCATCTATTTTCTACTACAGTTTCAGCTAAATATAGTTTTCCACTTCCTGTCCTAAATGGCTACGTGCTGGTTTGTGTTGTTGACTTTCCAACCTAGAGGTGACATAGGCTGAAAAATGTACACATATGTTGTGTGCATCTCTCTTGCTCTGTGTGTACAGGTATATATGTAAATCAGTGTGTCCTAGAGACTAGTTGTGAGGGTTGCTTGGCACAAATTTGGGCTGGCTTCATCCCTTATTCAGCCACATGTACATATTCCAGATATCTCAGAGATTATCTATTTTATAGAATTTTTCCAAGTGATAGCAGGACTATATATTAACTCAACTATCAGTAAATATAAGTGACTTCTCTGAGATCAACAATATAGGATTGTGAGATTCAGAAGAATCTCTAAAATTACCTGAAGAGTGGACATAAAAGCCAATACCTAAAGCAAATTCATTAGGAAAAAAAAAAAAGCTTCAGCAAGATACCATCCCAGAATTTTAAATGCTTATCTGGCTTGATTGCTAAAGAGCATGGAAACCAAAGTGCCTTAGTGAAACTTGGACAAAATATTGTCCATCACAGACCTTTAGCTGTTATAATTTTGAAAGGAAAACATATTTTGCATTTGGGAATAGAAAGAAATAGCTCTTTGGAAAGGTAATTAGAAAGAAAAGGCAGCTGTTTGGAATGACTGATCAAGTTCTAGTGCAGATGGATCTGTGAGGAGAGGATAGATATGATCATCAAAAGCTCTTGGTGTCTCAGAAGTCTATCACACTTTCCCAACTGTATCAAACAGGTATTCCCCCTGTGTAGGGAAGGGCGTCTGTATGTTTGTGATTTTTTAGGTTGCCGTTTGTGAGGAATTACAAATTAATGACAATGAATTTAGGTCTTAAACAAGTAATTTTGTTCTTTCTAATTAGATTTAGAATTAGAAACAACAGGGGAAAGGACATTTAGCAGATGTTCTCTAGAAGACCAAGGAGAGGTTATAATGCCTCTTGCTATGCTGTCATCAGTACAGAGTGGTCCTACAGTCACAAGCCGTGGTACGTGCTGGGATGGAGCTGCTCTTGGCAGCCCCAGTGTTCAGAGCAGCAACTAGATAATTGAGCTGATCTGGGGCCTTATGTGGAAGGGACTTCTGAGGTATTAAAACAGGAATAGTTACAAACCTGAGATGTTTGGTCATTAAAAAAAAACCCAAACGAAACAAACAAAAACAAACAAAAAAGCCCCCAGCATAATATTCTGTACTTTTAAATATTCATACTACCAAAGAAGACGTCAAATTTCTCTTTCTGAATAGTTATGGATCAAAACTGAGAAAACAAAAATGAAAGGACACATCTGTCCTGCAAAGTAGGAGATGTAAGGATGCTGGGCACATCCTGGCCCTGGCATTGATCTAACTGCACAGAGAGAACCAGCAGTGAGA